TCTTACTATGATCAATAATTATACTACAAATGTGAAAAATATAAATGTATAAAATCACAGGGCAAATGGGGTCCCAAGAAAAAGCAATGGGATTCAGACGCTCTATTGTCCTTTCAGATTCGCTTCCAGCAAACCAAATCTCTTACTGTAGGAAAAGTCTGTTAGTTAGGAATAGCCAATGGGTCATTATTTATACCTAAATCTAATACGGTTGTGGGGATTTAATTAATTTAGCATTTATGAGTGAAAAAATGAAAACGATATTTTTCGTTGTGATCACTGAGTCCAGGAGCGGCCATTTTTACCCAAATATAGTAACACTTCACTCCTGACATCTTCTGGCAGTGACGTCACGGTGCAGTACGCCTAGCGCCATTCTCCCCGCTTTACAAGCAAAATCAATGGGAACTACTAGACACATCTGCAATCAACAACAATTATTAAATATTTTGATAGGACTTCACTATTGAAATTTGTGACAGCTATAGTTAAACCAACGATTTATGTGCATGACAGTTGGATATTGTAATATATCAGGTAAAATTGGAAAAAAAATCTGTTATTTCACCTTGCCAATTCGTGATCCTCCACGGACGGGTTCGTCGTGGGATTGCCAACTTGAAGAGGGAGGATTAGCCATCGAACTTCTGGCCAGAGAAAAAACACATCAATAATCCGTTACTCTCTGCTTCGCATAGTGCACTGGTCGTCACCATCATGGATAATAGCGTGTTATGACAAACACCAAATACAGCACTGGGACTTGCTCAACAGCTGATACCGCACCATGACGTCACAAACCAGTAGGTGGCAGTAGTGCTCTTTGACAAACATGGATGTCTCCGGAAAAGCACATGCAAATGAAATTACTCTTACCATTTATTAAAAAGTATGTAACAATTTCATACTTAAGGTACTTTCAGAGGTTTGTATTCTGAATGTGACCGGACTTTTCCTTTAAGTGTTTTACGGTTGGTATTACCAATGTATCAACTGGTAGCTACAGAAACAGCCAACCCTGCGACAATACTACTTAGAGTTCTACAACAGGGCAGTGCGTCGGCCACAAAATTATAAGCAATAATACGTTTTTTTTTCTGTTTTACGTTTATAATTTTCACATTTGTAATACAATTTTTTATGGCAGTAAGAAACGATCTTGTACACTATGTTGGTTTGGTTGACTGTTTTATTTCCCCTTTAATGTCCCATTGTGGTTTTGTGTAGGGATGCACGATATAATCGACCCCCTATCTAGGGCTTCGGTTCTTTTATGGTACCGACCGAAATGCTTCGGTTCTACAGAGTATCGAAACATGCCTCGTCTTTCGGTACCAAGTTTCGGTGATTGGCTGTAACACTTAACGTGATTGCGTCATCCAGGAAAAATACACAGGTGGTCACGCCTACAGCCAGGGTTCATGTGTATCTGTTGTGAACTGGTTGTAGCGTCGTGGAACCCCTTTAAAATGCCCCCCAGGTCAAAAGTGCGGCTTCACTTTATTAAGACTGATGCCAATAGTGTGCAATGCAATACATCGTGCACGGAAACAATTTAAGAGCAGAAAGTTGCTCGGTGTTTGACTGCAAGAAGAGCGGACCGCAGCCGGCGCGACCATCCTCCTCTCAGCAGCCCGTGGGCGGAGCAAAGCCAGAGCGGAGTGAATCATGCTGCTTTCAAACTGGACGCAGCAAGAACATCAAAATTGCGTCTGCTGCTTCCTTTTTGCTGCTTGTACCAGCTTCTGATGCGCGGCTGAAGAAGCTTTGCTGCTCTGGCTACGCGGTCGAAAAGTGGCTCTGACGTGCGTTTGGCGGAGCTACTCTATCCTTTATTTGCCTTGCAGCTATATTTGCTGTGATCAGTGGGAATAAAGTAGTTTTATTATGTTTTTAAGTGGGAAAATCCACCTGAAAACTTAATCACTGTAGTCAGTTCATCCTGCCTTCCAATATTTCTGTCGGAGCCGCTCAGAACCCCACATACCAGCAGTGCGCTGTCAGTAGGATCCCATTCAACGGGCTTGTTTGTCAGACATGGTAATTTTTCTAAAGGAAAACTGCTAAGTAAAAAGGTCCTCACAATGTAACAGTGAATATTAGAAACTGAAATTTTTTTTTATGTAAGAGGAAAAATGTAAATGGTAAAATCAGAGCTTAAAATAAAACTCAAGATTTGTACTTTTTTATGTTGTGTAATTTTCTTTTTCTTCGAATTGATATTATAAAACTGGTATCGAAAAAAGTATCGTTCAGGAACCGGTATCGAAGTGAAGGTATCGGTATTGGTACCGGAACCGAAAATTTTTGAACAATACCCAGCCCTACCCCTATCGGTATCGGCCTTAAAACTGAATATCGGACATCGGCCACCCCACCGATATTTAACCATATATTTGATCAGCTTCTGAGTTTCTAAAGTCTAAAAAAAATATATATATATATACTACTTCTTCTTCTTCCTCAAAAACGTCTTTTTTACAGACTTAAAAACTTCTAAAGACGAGGGAAAAAATATTGATACATTAAAATATCACAATATCTTCATATGCTGATATATTGCCATTTAAAAACACCATATCAATCTCTTTTACTAATGAAATATTGCTATAGGACATTGTTATGCTACAAAATCCCCCGAAAATTCACAAAATTTGGCATATTTTTATATGTTGATATATTGATGCGGTATCGATCTATTTTACTAACAAAATCTCACAAGAATTTGCAAAATATCACGAGAGTTTGTAACAGAACTATGAAATTTCATGAGATTTTGAAAGTAAAATAGATCGATACCGCGTTTTTAAAAATCAATTTGATATCAGCATATGAAAATATATTTGAGTTTATTATTTTTCAAAGTGTCAGAAATGGATAACAAAACTGCTATTTTCAATGACTACTTATTTTTGTCCAGCTTTAACATCGGTATCGATATCGGTTATCGGCTACATGAGTTTTAAAATATCGGATATCAGCCAAAATCCCAATATCGTGCATCCCTAGTTTTGTGCGTTTTTTTGTCTTTTATTTACACATAAACATCTGCAAATTGTACCACAGGATTACTCAGTTGTTAATCTAGCAGAAGCTGGTTATACAGCTATGATATCATCATCTAAATTTCCTGGAATGGTTTAAAGTCAAAGTATCGTAGTGTAGGAAAACACTTTAATACAAAGAAGAAGGGAAAAGAAATCCGTGATCCAAACAATCTTGCTATAAATGTAGTTGTCAGATTTAACGTAGGATGGCAATAAATGGCTATAGGAACAAGGTTGCTATATGTAAAGTTATATATATATGTTTTGTGTGTGTGTGTGTGAGTATTTAACACAAAGGTATATTAATCACAACTTTTAAGTGTTTTCAATCTGAACAACAATAATTATTTAGTATTTTTAAGAATTAAATAAAAGCTAACTTAGCCTTATGTTATCTGAGGCAACAATCCAATGTGCTTAACACTACAAATACTTTTCTGTTTATATTACTTGACTAAGGAAATGACAGCACATGCTTTCATTTGTAATGATAGTCCTAGTTTTGTTTGCAATACCTCATATTTCACAATCTTATACTTTGTTTATGTTGTAGAGTGGGGTTTTCAGTCTTCTTTTTGGTCCCCTCCCCTCGCCGCACTGAAGGTCAATGATAATCGCTTCTGACACAAAAGGCTCCTGAGTGATCATTTGGGTGCTTGTTTTCAACAATAGCAGCAGTTAATGCTTCAGAGGATGCCTCACAAACACTCCTTCAGACGAGGAGGATGCTTACAGAGAAGGTCACTGTGTAAAGATAACATCATTGTCAATAACGTTCAAACCATGTGGAGAACACTCTCGCTAAAGTTTGACAGCTGCATTCCCATTATGGCCCTCAAAAAGAAGTGCGTCGGTCCCTCTGTTTTGTGTGCTGCTGGAGCTTTATCATTGTTTCACCAGTGTTATTCAGACCTGAGAAGAGATTTCACAAACTTTGATAGGGTTCCAATAATCTCAGTATAATATATAAATCTGTCTCTGCAGAGTAAGAAATAAAAACCCAGACTGACGCTTGTCTCTCCATGTTATTGAAAGACCATTGAAACGCTCCAGGGAGACATCCTGTTGCCTTCAGCCAACCAAATATAATTAAGAGGATAAGGAATTGGTCCTTGATTGTCTGCCCCATTAATATGTATTAATGGTGCTAGTGTATTAAAGTTTTTTGTTATCGAAAGCCACTAATGAGTTTTAAAACGATCAATATCTCTAAAGCCAAAGCTTTAAGGCCAAACATGAGGGAAGCATGAGGTGTAAGCTGTAGATTACTTGTTATGGGGCATTCATACTAATTTTGTAGTTGTTACTTTTTTATGATAACTAATTAAAATATTGTCAAAAATTTATCAGCTATAAATAAAAAGGTGGGTTTTTTGAGCAAAGTGTTTTTTTTTTGTTGTTGTCTCATTATTCTGCAGACTGACTCAATGTTCTCCAGTGGTCCATTATTTCTGAGAAGCCAGCACATTCAATAAAACAGGGAACTAAAGTAAAACATCACACCGCTTAATTGGTGGGATAATTCAAATAAATGATAAAAGTTTGGCTCCTTTGGGCTGGAAGGGCCCGTCTTCATCTTTTAGCTTTTAATTTGACTCCCTGCTTCTCTGCTGTTCAATCGATCCATTACTGCGAGCACTATGAAAGGCAGGGATTACATGTTGGGAGAAAGAGGAGGATAAATCCTGAATTAACTTTTAATTCTTTGTGAAGGGCACTGCTTCGAATGGAAGTTATTTTTTCCCTTTTTCTTTTCCGGAATGTTCTCCTGCTAATGTTGATATGAAGACCTAAAGGCTGTGGAGGATTACAATATGACTGGGATGTATTTCTTAATCATTGTTAGTCACGTATGTCTCATAGAATGTGAAGGCACACTCATCCTTTTGGTGAAAAATTGGCGTCTTTGCACGTGCGATTCCCTCACCGTGTCCTTTCCCATGTTTGAGCCAGGTCCCCCCAGCCCCCCGGACTCGGTGACGGTGGAGGAGGTGACAGACAGCACGGCCCAGCTAGCGTGGAGCCCTGGCAAAGACAACGGCAGCCCCATCATCAACTACATAATTCAGACAAAGACTCCGTTCACGGTGGGCTGGCAGAGGGTCAATACAGGTACTCCATGCTTGTTAATACATTTACATTTTAAAGCATAGTCACTGATTTCTACTATGTATGTAACAACTTGAAGGTCCTTGCAGGGAGGTTTTTGTGTCCTAGGGTTTAACGCTATTTAATTTGTGATTTAATATGCTTTAGTACAAAAATATACACAATTGAAACTAGATATTACACATAAAATGAATGGATATTTTTTCTTCCGACTGTCGCTTGGCATGAAGAACAGATAGCTTGTCATATTTTAGGTCAGTTAGGATTATTTTAACTATTGAAAAAATATAAAGCTTTTTTATGTCAAAATATTACATACATTTCTTTAATGTTTGGTTAAACTGCCCTTTAAACTGTATGTTCAGAACTTCCTCAAGCTTCTCCAAAGCCTTTTCTAAGATTTTGGCCCATCTCTTTGAACCAGTGAAACTGAGTGAAGTTTTGAAGGCAGCCTTTCCCTTGGGACTAAAAATTGGTCTTTGTTATTGTCACTCCAAAACATTGGATAAGTTCTCTTTTAGCCACGTTGTAACAGATTTTGCAGTCATTGTCAGATTTAAAAAACCCATTGGTGCCCAAGCTTTAATATCCTGTCTGATTTCTTCAGTTTTTGCACATTGCTTTTCCCTCGTGATGCAATCTATTTAGTGAAAAGTAGATTTGTCCATTCTGCTGCAATGTCCCACTTGTAACAGTATTCTTCTACCCACGTACTTCACATCAGGTATGATGTTCTCATCATTGTAGGGTTCAAAATATTTTATTCATTGGTGACACCTAAATGTAGCTATACAAATTAGGGTGGCTATTTTGATTAATCAAAAAAGCAGATTAATAGATTCATAATCAGATGGCAAAAGGTTCTTTAAAGAAGGTTTTACACTGAATTCAAACCAGGTGAAGCTAAATTTGTGCACTTAGAGGACTTCTGGATAGAGCATGTTAATAGACAAAAAAAAAGTTTTTCATCTTACAAGCAAACATTTTTATTTATTTTTTTTACAATTTTGGAATAATGACTGCTTTGAGTGGGTTTCTCTTTCAGCTAAAGGTATGTTTTAATGTCTCTATAATCAAGATAATATCTAATCGATTACTTAATTAGTTGATGATTATTTCAATAATCAATTAATTTCTATCAATCCAAATAGTTCTTTAAACCAAATGTAAGGGCATTTTGAATAATTTTCAGAGCTTAAAAGCCTATGGGTTCAGTATAAATAAAGATTTAGAACCGCAGAAATGTTGTTCCATTGACACATTTAAGATGTGTTGCACTTGCAATATGCAGCACATATAAAAGCAAAGATTTAAAAATAGAAACATAACATGCAAACAACTGTATGGTTCAATCTGTGAAGTATATAGAGTGCATTTATATCCACAACTAGCTACTATAAGACCAAAATATTTAATAAAAATTTGATAAAGGGCAGTTTATTATTATCCAACCTCATACAGTGTGTGTAGATCTATTATTATTAATAGATTATTATTTTTGTCCTTATTATTGTTCTTACTTATGTTATACACATTGATCAAATGTGTTGACTATTTCCAAGTTCAATTGTGTTGAATAATCCTTAAGCATTTAGGATTTTTATTTATTGAAATAGTAAGAGGATAAATAACATATTTGTATTCCAAACAACCATAAAAGCATTAGAAATATTGTCATTCCAAAAGTACTGATATGTGCATTTATTTCAGTAGCAGCCATAAGTTGGGAAAAAAAATTATTTAAAGCTACGAAATAAAATTGATAAAATAATATGAAATAAAATTGAAAAGCTGCTTCTGCTCCCTACAAGCGTAGTTTAAAATGGAATTAAAGTGCTTTGCAGACACCAATGCCAACAGCAAAACCTTTTTTTCCTAAATTATACATTCATTTTTTACAGCATTTATCCTTTTTATATGCATGAAAAAAGTTGATAGTCATTTTGAATTAATTTTGAACTCTATGGGGAATTTATCTATTTTCAAACCCTTAGAAATTTTAAACCTGCAAGAAAATCTTGGGGTGGCAAATAGGAAGCCATGCACAGATTGGTTTTAAATGCAGTTCTGGGTATGATAGATTTACACCTTAGTGAAAAATTCAGCTTCTAAACTCACTTTGATCCACCTTTCCGGTTTTTATGTGTTTTAGTCTTAAATCCACTTTATGATGTAGCTGAAATGCTTTATGTGTATTTATGTTGTTATCTCTTTCCACTGTGGTTGTATGTTTGATAGGGTTTGGACTCTATAACAATGTCTTATTTCTTACAGTTCCAGAGGTAATTGATGGTAAAATTCTCACTGCTACTGTGGTTGACCTGAACGCCTGGGTTGAGTACGAGTTCAGAGTATTGGCCAAAAACGGTGTTGGTGTTGGTGAACCTAGTCCCGTGTCAGTGAAGACTAGAACAGAGGATGCAGGTGCAGAAAAATCGTTGAAATTGAATCCTACTGCTTTGTTTATATATATGCAGATGAGTAGGGCAAGTTGTCTTGTTTTGCAGTTCCAGATGCAGCCCCAGGTGATGTAGGTGGAGGGGGAGGAAGCAGATATGAACTGGTCATCACATGGGAGGTAAGTCATCAGTCTTATGTTCTTCTCTATCTATTATTTACTGCTTACAGTCAGTCTTTTTTTATCTTTGCGAGAGGTCAGGGGAAATCTGACGATGCCTTTGATTTGGTTTATTTCTGCGCTGTTATTGTAGAGAAAGTATAAACAGTTGTGTCCAGTTTGTTGAAGACAAATACTTTGTTGAACCAATTTCTCAAGGCAGTTATGGTGAAAAATGTGTTTTGTTTTGCTTTGTTGTTGTAACCATCTAGAACAGTTTTTACCTGCTGTTCTTTATAAAACTGTTCTAAGCTGTCAGATTGGATGGAAAGGGTCGGTGAACATCCATTTTAATGCCACTGATATTAAATCTTATTATAATTTAGTTCCAGATGTGGCCTGGGTCATTGTAGCACATTAATATGTTTTTGAACTTATCTCCTTAGTGTAGCTTTAGATGTATATGTAGAGTTATTGACCTATTTGAAACTTGTCTGAACCATTTTTCTCCAGCCTCCAACTGATTTTCTGTCCAATCAGCACTGACCAGCTGTTCTTTTCAAATAAAAAGCATTTCTTGAGCTCACGCACAATTATATAGTACTCTGTTTGCTTTTCACGTTAAATTCAGATAACATAAAAAAGGTTTGCCGTAGTATTACACTGCAAAATTTTCTGAAAATGAGTAAAAATGTCTTAAATTAAGTAAATTTACCCTTAATTCGATGATGGAATTTGTATTTTCTACTTTTAAATAGGATAATTAGATAATAAGCACTTGAAATAAGAAACTGCAATTGTCTTGTTCCATTTGCAAATTGTCTCTCTTACCTCCCATTTAAGAAGAAATTCACTTATTTTAAGAAAAAAATGACTTATTTAGATTTTATTTTTTGCGGCGTACACATAAAATTGAGAAATGCTCAATGGTACTTCTGTAAGTCTGTATGCAGTTTATGAAGATCGGGTGGGTTTTCAATTCTTTTAGCTTATTTAAATCCACACCTTTTAAGTCTGCCATTGAAGCAAACTGGTTTTGTGGCTGGATAATAAGATTCTAAGGTTCTGAGTTACAGGGCTAATTTAGTACTTTATTAAGTGCCAATTAACTTTTATTTCAAAAAACAGCTTGCTTGGTCTGTAATAAGCACAGAGGCATTTTGAAACAGTATCTTACTTCTCATTTCATTATCTCAGGTAGGTCATGAAAGCAATTTGTGGGTCATGTCTGAGTGTGCAGTGATTGCATAAGCCCAGTGCCGGAGTGAATGTGACTGGTCTGTATATATTTTAATATCACTATAGTTTTGTGTTTCACTCTCAGCCTGTCCCCGAAGAACTGCAGAATGGCGAAAGCTTTGGCTACATCATTGCTTTTCGCGCCTTCGGAGAAGTCAGCTGGACTCACGTGGCCACCTCGGCCCCCGGTGCGTCCCGCTACGTGTACCGCAACGATAGCCTCGCACCCTTCTCTCCTTTCCATGTGAAGGTGGGCACTTACAACAGCAAAGGACAAGGCCCCTTTAGCCCTGTTGTCACCATCTACTCTGCAGAGACAGGTAAGTATGGATATAATGGGGGCCGAACTAAGAAAAGCTTGAAAGCTACTTGTTTCTGGGAAAAAAGGACAAAGATCACAAAAGTGGTTTTACTGCATCTACTGCTTTAGAAATCACTTTTAAAGCAAGAGAAAGGCAGAAAATGTGGAACACAATTGCAAGACATTTATGTAAGAGTGGGTAGTGCGTTTTCATCCAAATATCACCACTCACTTCAATGGTTTTACCAAGGTAAAAAACCAGTTGGCATTTAGCTCGATGCTCCCTCTCAGCTCATGGAGAGGCAGTCAGTTTGTGCTGTAGTGTGGGTCTATTTACCAGCAGCACCTTTGTGCGGTGACTCATCTGTGCTCGGATCAAGATTTATAAATGTAAAAATGAATAAATATATATCTGCTTATCTCCATGATGCTGCATCCTGACAGAAATGCCGGGTCTCATGTTTTCTGTTTTTCAGAGCCAAGCGGAATGCCAGCGGGGGTTTGGGCCGGGAGTGTCTCAACCTCTGAGATTGAGGTGAATTGGCAGGCTCTCACCATCACCCCTGAAAGGGTCCTGGGCTATGAGGTACTTTTCTTTTTACCCATATAAATGGAAGCAGATATCAAAGACGACACAATTCAAAACGCTTGTCATCACCTCAGTTTTCACCTCAAAGCCATCTCTTCAAAACTGCGTCGCTATGGAAATGCTATCCTCGCTTCTCTTCCAGACTGGAATTACACACTTCTTTGTATCAGCTTGACAGGAAAACATGTCAGAATTTTTTTCAGGAGAAGAAAGGAAAATTACCCATCTGCATGCTCGCTCTGATCTAGCTGTCATTTATGCAAAATCATGACACACATGACCTTAAAGAAACACTGGTCTTCATGTCAGTGAATAGTATTTCACAACCCAGATTCTAGTAACTATAACAATTTTTCGCTTTTAATTGTAATGCTAAGGAAATACAGGATGGATTGATTTTGAACTCAAAAAGCTAATATTATTTAAATTTATTGGCGGACACTCGGGCAACCTGATTAATCTAATTAAACCCGAACCATTCAATAGTTCCCAATTTCTTCACAGAAAACATATACTGTCTTTCTTTTTCATAAATCACTTGTTTACAATTATCAAACAAAGAGAGAAGCATAGGATATAAGAGTGGGCTTCATGTTCACTAGTGTTATTTATTGTTATTCTAATGATTAGGAGTGATAAAAGCGATAAAGTACGGTACGTGTCAATTTAGAATTTAATCAGTCAGACTTCAATTAGTGTAATTATTTAAATTTCATACTTTATTACGCACAACATGATGTATTGCAGAGTTAAATTATGGGACAGTAAATCCACGAGTTGAGTGACAAATTGTTAATTTCTCTAATTGTTTTCATCATTTAGATTGATTAAACGGTTGAACATTTGCTTAATTCCATGTTTTCATAATGTTCCTTTGATTACAGCCAAAATCACAGAATGTCTGTGTGACTGTGTGATATCCCCTTTCAAAAGAGCGAGTTTAGAGAAAGACTCTACATTTACAGTAGAAATAAAATGATCAACTATATCTGGCCTAACGTATGCTGCCATTCTTGGTCTGATGTGAGCAAGTGGAAAAATGCAACAGCCCGTCTTGTTAGATCATCAAAGCTGACCTCTCTTTGGAAGATTCACCCAGAAGCATCATTTTAAAGTCAAGCTTTCTGCCGGTTGACATGAAATAAGTCCAAAAGTTGCCATTTCCGTCCAGATACACATGAACATGTTTCTGAAGATTTAACATCGTCTTAGAAAAGTATTCATATCCCTTCATCTTATATGTAGGTTGTGACTTAATAAGGCTCAAACTTCAATGTATTTTATTTACATTTTTAATAGAAACTGAAAATGTCATGGTCTTAGTTCTGCCGTTCTTTACTTTGCTCCTTGTTTTCTAGATTTATTGGTTTAATTCCAGTTTTGTTGTATTTCTAGTTTATATTAGTTCTCATGTTTTTCTGTTGTCCCCTTTTGCCCTCTTGTGTGTGTATGTTCCTTTCCCCTTGGCTCCCTCGTTGTCTCCTCTCACACCTGTTCCTTGTCTGCTCGTTAGCCCTCCCTTTGTCTCTCTCTCCTATATATGCTCTCCCTCTGCTCTCACTCTTTGTTGGTTCCTTGTCTTTGCTGTCCTCCCGTGCTGTTGTCCACATTCCTCGTCTCTCCCTGGCTCCTCGTGTTCGGTTTCCCCCAGGTGTCTCCATAGTTCTGGTTTGCTTTGATTATTAGTTGGATTTTTGCATTCCTGCCTTTGTTACTGTTTTTGCCCCCATTAAACTTCCCAAGAGTTGTCCTCAGCCTCTGCCTCTGCATTTGGGTCCAAACCACAACTAAACCGTGACAATAGGAACCAACCACAATGGACCCAGCAGAGCCCAGTCTGGACACCCTAAGGGACTTTTTCCTCAATCTAGGCAATACTCTGGACTCAATATCCAACCTTACACCGCCTTGGAAGAGGGTGAGTGCAACCAGCCAACTTAAACAGATTCTCCTCTCAAACTCCACACTCATTTCTCCCCCAGTACTATCTGAACTGTTTGAAGAGTTGGAGTGGAACCACCAAGCAGCCAGCGCCCAGCTCTTCAGCAGACCTCCACCACCCAAACCATCTCTTCATCTCCTCCCTACCCTGCTGTCAATCGCCTCCGGTCCAGTTCCACCATCTTCACCAGCTGTTGGTCCCCCCATGCCGTCTGCCTCCTCCAGGCGTAGAAAGGCCGCCGGGGGAGGAAATCCACTCCCTCTCCGGCGGGTCAGCCTGACGCCTCCACTCCCTCTCCGGCGAGTCAGCCTGACGCCTCCACTCCCTCTCCGGCGGGTCAGCCTGACGCCTCCACTCCCTCTCCGGCGGGTCAGCCTGACGCCTCCACTCCCTCTCCGGCGGGTCAGCCTGACGCCTCCACTCCCTCTCCGGCGGGTCAGCCTGACGCCTCCACTCCCTCTCCGGCGGGTCAGCCTGACGCCTCCACTCCCTCTCCGGCGGGTCAGCCTGACGCCTCCACTCCCTCTCCGGCGGGTCAGCCTGACGCCTCCACTCCCTCTCCGGCGGGTCAGCCTGACGCCTCCACTCCCTCTCCGGCGGGTCAGCCTGACGCCTCCACTCCCTCTCCGGCGGGTCAGCCTGACGCCTGCTTCAATCCCACTCTTCTTCAGGTCAGTTTCCCCTATGGCCTTGGCCGTCACCTCCATGACCAACAGCTAGCCCCATCCTTAAAGAAACTCATTATTACACCCCCTACAGTCAGTGCTCCCCATATTGAGGAGTCTCAATTATGGACCTTCTTTTATGGGGAGAGGGAGGATCTATTCCCTTTCCTTCCACCTCCATCAGTTCCCTGTCAGCCAGCACATCTCAAGCCCTTTAGCGGGCCGGTTTCCCTAGCTCCAGAGCCCTTTAGCGGGCCGGTTTCCCTAGCTCCAGAGCCCAGTAGAGGGCCGGTTTCCCTAGCTCCAGAGCCCAGTAGAGGGCCGGTTTCCCTAGCTCCAGAGCCCAGTAGAGGGCCGGTTTCCCTAGCTCCAGAGCCCAGTAGTGGGCCAGATTCCCTAGCTCCAGAGCCCAGTAGTGGGCCAGATTCCCTAGCTCCAGAGCCCAGTAGAGGGCCAGATTCCCTAGCTCCAGTGCCCAGTAGAGGGCCAGATTCCCTAGCTCCAGTGCCCATTAGAGGGCCAGATTCCCTAGCTCCAGTGCCCATTAGAGGGCCAGTTTCCCTAGCTCCAGAGCCCATTAGAGGGCCAGCTTCCCTAGCTCCAGAGCCCATTAGAGGGCCAGTTTCCCTAGCTCCAGAGCCCATTAGAGGGCCAGCTTCCCTAGCTCCAGAGCCCATTAGAGGGCCAGTTTCCCTAGCTCCAGAGCCCATTAGAGGGCCAGTTTCCCTAGCTCCAGAGCCCATTAGAGGGCCAGTTTCCCTAGCTTCAGAGCCCATTAGAGGGCCAGTTTCCCTAGCTCCAGAGCCCATTAGAGGGCCAGTTTCCCTAGCTCCAGTCCCCCTTGGCGGTCCTGTTTCCCTAGCTCCAGTCCCCCTTAGCGGTCCTGTTTCCCTAGCTCCAGTCCCCCTTAGCGGTCCTGTTTCCCTAGCTCCAGTCCCCCTTAGCGGTCCTGTTTCCCTAGCTCCAGTCCCCCTTAGCGGTCCTGTTTCCCTACCTCCAGTCCCCATTATCGGTCCTGTTTCCCTAGCTCCAGCTTCCCCAGTGCCTGTGCCCATTAGCGGTCCAGCTTTCCCAGTGCCCATTAGCGGGACAGCTTCCCCAGTGCCTGAGCCCATTAGCGGGCCGTTTTGCCTAGCGCCAGAGACTCCTGAGCCCATTAGCGGGCCGTTTTGCCTAGCGCCAGAGACTCCTGAGCCCATTAGCGGGCCGTTTTGCCTAGCGCCAGAGACTCCTGTGGCCATTAGCGGGCCGTTTAGCCTAGCGCCTGAGACTCCTGTGGCCATTAGCGGGCCGTTTAGCCTAGCGCCTGGGACCCCTGAGCCCGCTCAGAGTCATCCTGATATCCCTGAGCACACAAGTAAAAGGCTCTCTAAAATAAAGCTCAGCGGGCGCTCCAAGCCTCCACGGCCCCTCAGCGGGCGCTCCAAGCCTCCACGGCCCCTCAGCGGGCGCTCCAAGCCTCCACGGCCCCTCAGCGGGCGCTCCAAGCCTCCACGGCCCCTCAGCGGGCGCTCCAAGCCTCCACGGCCCCTCAGCGGGCGCTCCAAGCCTCCTCTGAGGCTGTTCCCGTGCCGCAGTCGGCGGCCCCCTCTGAGGCTGTTCCCGTGCCGCAGTCGGCGGCCCCCTCTGAGGCTGTTCCCGTGCCGCAGTCGGCGGCCCCCTCTGAGGCTGTTCCCGTGCCGCAGTCGGCGGCCCCCTCTGAGGCTGTTCCCGTGCCGCAGTCGGCGGCCCCCTCTGAGGCTGTTCCCGTGCCGCAGTCGGCGGCCCCCTCTGAGGCTGTTCCCGTGCCGCAGTCGGCGGCCCCCAAGGTTCCTGCAGCTGCGTCTGAGACGGCGTCCCCCAAGGTTCCGGCAGCTGCGTCTGAGACGGCGTCCCCCAAGGTTCCGGCAGCTGCGTCTGAGACGGCGTCCCCCAAGGTTCCGGCAGCTGCGTCTGAGACGGCGTGCCCCAAGGTTCCGGCAGCTGCGTCTGAGACGGCGTGCCCCAAGGTTCCGGCAGCTGCGTCTGAGACGGCGTGCCCCAAGGTTCCGGCAGCTGCGTCTGAGACGGCGTGCCCCAAGGTTCCGGCAGCTGCGTCTGAGACGGCGTGCCCCAAGGTTCCGGCAGCTGCGTCTGAGACGGCGTGCCCCAAGGTTCCGGCAGCTGCGTCTGAGACGGCGTGCCCCAAGGTTCCGGCAGCTGCGTCTGAGACGGCGTGCCCCAAGGTTCCGGCAGCTGCGTCTGAGACGGCGTGCCCCAAGGTTCCGGCAGCTGCGTCTGAGACGGCGTGCCCCAAGGTTCCGGCAGCTGCGTCTGAGACGGCGTCGCCGGTGCCTCCAGAGGCCCTCCTCCGTCCTCCAGAGGCCCTCCTCCGTCCTCCAGAGGCCCTCCTCCGTCCTCCAGAGGCCCTCCTCCGTCCTCCAGAGGCCCTCCTCCGTCCTCCAGAGGCCCTCCTCCTTCAGAGACGGCGTCGCCGCCGGCGACCTCCAGGGGCCCTCCTCCTTCAGAGACGGCGTCGCCGCCGGCGACCTCCAGGGGCCCTCCTCCTTCAGAGACGGCGTCGCCGCCGGCGACCTCCAGGGGCCCTCCTCCTTCAGAGACGGCGTCGCCGCCGGCGACCTCCAGGGGCCCTCCTCCTTCAGAGACGGCGTCGCCGCCGGCGACCTCCAGGGGCCCTCCTCCTTCAGAGACGGCGTCGCCGCCGGCGACCTCCAGGGGCCCTCCTCCTTCAGAGACGGCGTCGCCGCCGGCCCCCTCCAGAGAGCCTCCTTCGTCAGAGACGGCGTCACCGCCGGCCCCCTCCAGAGAGCCTCCTTCGTCAGAGACGGCGTCGCCGTCCTCCTGAGCTTCTGCCTCGCCTCCGGCCTCATGGCCGCCCTCCAGAGACTCTTCCTGGCCTCCGGCCTCACGGCCGCCCTCCAGAGACTCTTCCTGGCCTCCGGCCTCACGGCCGCCCTCCAGAGACTCTTCCTGGCCTCCGGCCTCACGGCCGCCCTCCAGAGACTCTTCCTGGCCTCCGGCCTCACGGCCGCCCTCCAGAGACTCTTCCTGGCCTCCGGCCTCACGGCCGCCCTCCAGAGACTCTTCCTGGCCTCCGGCCACACGGCCGCCCTCCAGAGACTTTGTTTGCCCTCGCCCACCTTGGGTGGGTTGTTTTGGTTTTGTTTGGACTCTGCGTTTGGTTTTGTATTTCGTGCCCTCCTTCCTGGTTCCCCCTCCGCCCACCCAGGGTGGGTTGTTTTTTGTTTCTGGACATTTTAGGGCGTCTGGGATCCGCCCTTAAGTGGGGGGCACTGTCATGGTCTTAGTTCTGCCGTTCTTTACTTTGCTCCTTGTTTTCTAGATTTATTGGTTTAATTCCAGTTTTGTTGTATTTCTAGTTTATATTAGTTCTCATGTTTTTCTGTTGTCCCCTTTTGCCCTCTTGTGTGTGTATGTTCCTTTCCCCTTGGCTCCCTCGTTGTCTCCTCTCACACCTGTTCCTTGTCTGCTCGTTAGCCCTCCCTTTGTCTCTCTCTCCTATATATGCTCTCCCTCTGCTCTCACTCTTTGTTGGTTCCTTGTCTTTGCTGTCCTCCCGTGCTGTTGTCCACATTCCTCGTCTCTCCCTGGCTCCTCGTGTTCGGTTTCCCCCAGGTGTCTCCATAGTTCTGGTTTGCTTTGATTATTAGTTGGATTTTTGCATTCCTGCCTTTGTTACTGTTTTTGCCCCCATTAAACTTCCCAAGAGTTGTCCTCAGCCTCTGCCTCTGCATTTGGGTCCAAACCACAACTAAACCGTGACAGAAAACAGTGTTTCAGCAGTTGCTGCTCAGTTAGCCATTGGTTGCTGGTTATATTAATCTCTGAATTCTGACTTTGTTTAAGGTTATTAATGGAGAGTAGACTTCTTTTCCATGTTTTAATATTTTGCAGCCATTTTTCTCTTTCACTTTATCATCCAAATGTGCTTAAAAAAAAACCTTATCCATGATCTGTGTGGTTGCTACCTTGGTCCTGGTGATAAAACTTACCATCTATCGTATTTATAGCTAAGTACAAATTCACATTACAGTCTGCCCATTTTATTTGCATAAAGGAAAAAAAATCCCTTTTCTTCCTTAACATAAAACCTTTCTAAAATACTTTAGAAGATTCAGTAAAAATATGGCTAACTGTAAAAATAGTCCAAAAGACAATTGTATTTTTTGCAAGTTATTGTATAAATTTTTTATTTTTTGCATTTGCTTTCTGTTTCAAAAAGGTGGTTTACTGGGAGGATGATACCAAACCAGAAACGATGGGGAAAGTTAGAGTGCCTTGGAACCAAACCTCAGTAACAGTAAACAACCTGGAAGGAAACACGCAGTACTTTTTAACAGTTAGCGCCTTCAACACAGCGGGGACCGGCCCCTTTCTCCCTGCAATCAATGTCACAACAAAAAAGCCACGTAAGATGCATACATTTATGTAACAGTAATTGTTTTTGTAAAACCTTATGTTCCCTTTAAATTTAGGCTTTTCTTAGTAAACCAAAAAATGCACATCCTTTACTCATACTTCTTTAAAAAGATAACCTGATATAGTAATAGGATGGTTCCATTATGCCGATAATGCAATCATGTGCTTCTGTGCCCACACTTTGAAATAAATCATTTTTATATCATGCAGCGCCTGCCCAACCACCGCTGAATGTAGAATGGACCCTAATTGGCTCTCAGCTGTCTCTTTACTGGGAGCCTGTGGTGGCAATGGAATCAGAGTCAGAAGTTACGGGATATCAAGTGAGTTTCTCTGCACTTGATGATGCCACGTTTATTAGTGCTGTATATTTGGCTGCAAGAACAGAGCTGGAGGTAGGGATACCTATTTATATTGCGTATTTTTCCTTGTCTCCCCTCCCACGTTCAGCTTTCATACTGGAGACAGAGACATAAAGAGGTAAACAGGTTCACATCAGCCAATTCCACAGCAGACCTGACCCTCCCAGAGAACGACGATGACTACATCATTCGCATTCAGACGCTGAGTGAGGGAGGACTGGGTCCAGCTTCAGATCCCATACGAATCCACAGACTGAGTGAGTTATTTGTTGTTGTATTTTTTTTTTATTCCTGTCAAGTTGAAAAGACAAAATATGTGCTATCCCAGTTTGTCTGCTTTTGCTTTGGTTAAGTAAATAAATAAAACATATTTATTTAATAGTTCATCATTGTCACATAGCCTGTTTTATATAATTTTTTACTGACTTTTTGAATGAAAGCAGTCAACACTTTTAATTCTGACAGGGACGTTTTGTCCTCCATTAACTCAACAGTACTAATGTCCTTTACCACCCTCATTTGGCTCTACTGTGCTCATGTTTTGCTGAAATATGCAGCCCCATCCATCTCTGTCACCAGCGCTCTTTTTACTAGAAGCTATTACTGTCTCTCGGAGCTCCAGGGGGGCTAGTTTTCTCCTCTTAATGCTGCTGTACATTGTTGGGTGTTCTACGTAGAATCCCTTAAAAACAGCAGTTTAGGGAGCTTTTCTTTTAGATAAACACTTTTTTTCCCCTTTTTCTTTTGGACACAGAGTGAAAGCTGCGTGCAAAACACATTAGCAGGGAAATATAGAGCACTGTTTACAGAAAGTGGATTTTCTTGAAGTAGTTTCAAATGCTTGTCCAGCCATTAAACATTTCTTATCCCAGGGGGGAAATTTTTCTTAGAATGTTATTTCATAATAAATTGGAATCCAGCTGCACGTTACTATTAATTAAGTCACAAATGTCATAAAAATGTTGGAAATCAAACTCAAGACATAAATTAGTTTTACTACTTTTATGATGGGGCAGTTTGAGTATTCTTTTTAGTGAATACAATCTCTTTAATCATTCATCTACCATGACTATAAGTCATCCAATAAAACATATTGATAAGATTTGCTAACCCCAAAAACTGATACCATGCTTTGAATATTTTATATGTTTTTTTATTCTTCTAAATGTTTTTGATAGCAGTCATTACTGTTTTCTGTTCCCCAGGAGCGTCAAACATCTTAAAGTAATTGTTTTAATAAAGAACCATATAGGGTTCCCACCAGGATGTTTATGAGCGTAGCAGGATAGGGGGTTCGCTAATTGACTTTATCACATTATATAGGTAGATCAACTTTAGCAAGACTCTAAATAAGTTTAAAAACTCAAGATGAACTATATAAAATTATATCTAGCATTCCAGAGGGTTATTTTAACCTGAATTAAATCAGGTTTATGTAAATCAATTTTATGTTATCCAATTCCACTCAATGAATTAAATAGATTGGGCATGTATTTTAGTGCAACAGGTTAAAAAAATACAGAGTTTTACTATTTACATCCCTCTTTTCAATTAAGGGGAGATTGGTGGAAGCTTTGTGCATGGTGACTATTTTTCAATGGTGAAACGGTCCATCTTCTCTCTCTGGCTGCAGAAATGTCCTGCAGCTGCTGCGTCTGACTCAGGAGGGGCTCGCTCACTCACTGCCCCCTGAAGAGAGTAAACGCAACTGCTTTCATCTTGTCACCAAGACAGAAAATAGATGCTAGATTTGTCCCTAGTCATTTAAAAAAAGAAAAGAAAAAAAGAGTCACTGAAAGGGTCTTAAAGTCACTAAATATTGCAACAAAGTCGCTGAGTTGGTAAAACCTGCTTTGGGGAGCAGAGCCAATAGAAGTCTTTGCACATATTATTTGCACATATCCTCATGATATGTACAAGTAAAAACGTAAATGTGTTTAAAAACACCGTTTTCGCTGCCATTGTGCTCATTAAAAGTCAGAGAATTGGCGTTTTTCCATTGTCATTTTACGGGTTTCAGCTTAATCTGCTGCTCTGCCAAAATGTGCTGAGGAGGAAGCCCAGATGTCAGTCAAAGGGCCGCTAGATAATAAAACAATTTATGTAATGACCAAAATTTTTGTGTAACCGTGACCTTTTTTGAGCGTAATTGCCTGTTACCCAAAAAGCACTGGCGAGAACCCTGCCATTCTTGGTAACTTAAAGTTACATTTGATTTGGGAGGCCTAGGCGGTGATGATTTTTGTGATTAGCTGAAATGGGAAGCATCCCTCTTACACCGCAGTTCTTCTTGTCAATTGACTCTGGATCTAAGCAATGAAGTTTGCAAAGACGAGACAGAATACTGGATACAAGGCATGATGGGTAGTTTTATTATAAGTGTTTGACACTGGAACTGAGGAAGTCGAGCAATAGGTGGAAATAGACAACGAGAGAGGAAGGATGACATGCAGCAAATGTTGTTCGCTTGTTGATTCTCTCTAGTGTTGATCCCCTTAATATTTCAAACCATCTCTAGTGTCTTTTGACTAATTAACATGATAAGTGCCATTACCAAAGACAGGTACTGAATTAAAGAGAGCAACTTTCCTGTGCTTTATTCAGTCTTGCTGCTATCAGATGAACTTTGCCCCACGTCAGTTTGCTCCTTCAGCTGTTCAACAATACGTACCCATGGTCAGTATGAATTGACCACAGTATTTATGCACAAAGAAGTACGTAAGAAATTAAATTTAAAATGCCAACACATTTAAATGAGCAGCACTTTAATCTCTATTATAGGAGCCTGAAAGAAAACCAAACATGCCAAAGTAGAAAATTGTTTCCTTTTATGAATAGCTTGGCTTCAAACAAAAGGCTGGACCTAAAAAGACACCAAACAAGGAGAAGCTTTACTTGTCTGCAAAGTACTTCAGCCAAATTCCTGCCAGCTCCTCTGGACAAGATGCATGACAGATTGAAAACCAGATACTGCTAAAGCGGACATACACTGCGCGATATTTTCAATCATTGCACGCAGCTACAGCTCAAACTGTACGATTAAAACCTCAGGGTTTAAAAGTTCACAGCTCACCATGCATGTTCTCACACTGTGGCGATCTTACGATGGCCGACTGAATTTCAAACATGTTTGATTTTCTCCCAACCTTGCAATTCCTGATCGGGAGGTGGAAGTGAGAGGCCCAATCGAAAAATTCTCGGAACAAGCGGAGAATCGGCCCGAAAAGGGCCCAGCTTAAAGAAGTCACACCAGTTTTGTTGTTTGTTTTTCTGCTATTATTAGACATTTCTGAGTTGTTAAGAATTATACCAATCAGAAACATTAAATTAGGATAAAAATGTAATAGTTTTATCAGAATAATAAGTCAGGATAAACAGAGGAGCAATCAAAACAGCATTTGTTATAACTGTAATTGAGCATCATACAAAGATTTTCTTGATATAAAGCCCCACCATGTTTAGTATTTTTACCTGTTAAGCCCGAAAATTTTCAGCTAAACAGGCCTGCATATTTTCACATAGATTGCTATAAATTATGCTCTTATGGTAACCGCATTAAAAAAACAGTCCAAAGCTATAAATCATACCATTATAAAACATACCTAAGGTTTGCAATCATTATCAATTACAGATGATTATCATCACAATAAATCACAGAAGTAATACCATTATTTATTTCTTTAATAACAATGAACAAAATGATAATTTTCTATCCATACTGGTGTCGGAAAGCTTACTTTGAAAACACATTTGCGTATTTCAGATAAGCTACTGCAACTATTATGCAAAACCTCCATGGAAAAGAAACTTCCCAATTCTTCCTTTATTATTTTGAATTGTTAAAACCAATTTCATATTGAGTACGGTTCTATGTATAGATGGGTTGTGACTCAGAAGAGCATAAGAAAGTGTAGGGAACCATCATTAGATCTAAAAAGTATACTTTTTCTGTCAGTGGTGCCTTGAAAAGGTTTTCTATTGTTTTTGTGACTGTGAAGACAGTGTGGAGTTAGTGGTTCCTTCTTTCTACTGAGAACAGAGAGACTTTTTAAAGAGCTTTTTGCTGCATAGCACTGCATATTATCCAGCTCCAGAATTAAGGTGGTTTCCTGTATTTTAGTTGGTTATCTAAACAGAATGAGCAGCTCCTCGTTAAAAAAAAGCAGCCACAGGTCATATTTAACAGTTTCCATTTCTGTTCAAATGTTTTCAGTCTTCTAGTATTTTGTAAGTTAGAAATAAAAACAGTTCATCACATGAATGTAAGCATAAGGAAATTAAGTTTTAACCATTTTCTTCTGTTTTTGTGTGCTGCAGGTATGAGCGCCCGTGGCTCCAAAGGCCTGAGTGTGGACACATCCCCTCTCTCCTTAATCCTCACTATTTCAATATGTACATTCAGGTCAATGTTGTGACACAACCTCTCTGCTTTATTTTCCCACATTTTTTCTTTCCTTTTAAAAAGTAGCCATGTTTTATTTTTCTTCTTGCTTGGAAATGACAGTTTTATCGTGCTCTATAGAAATGTGTGAAGAAGTTGGAGCGTGCTGCTGAGTTAATTCACATTATTTGCTTGCCTTTATTTACTAATTTTTACTTGTGGGTGTGACATTTTTGCCAGTTGGGAACAATATACCATTTCGGCTCTTTACTTTAATTCTTGAATAACACAGATGCCTTACTTCCATTCATGTGCCAAAGTAGTTTCAGCCTTCTTTTTGTAAAAAAAAAAAGGATAGCATCATGCTTTTCTCAGCATTCAGTTTCATGCAGTTTACAATCATTAAGCACTCGGTGTAACTTTTAGAGGGCCTCGGTGAGAGATTTTAGTTTTGATCTCCAAAATTTCTGTATTCTCCTTCATGCCTAAATCCGACCGTTTTAACATGTTAATTCTCACATGCTTGTGCCTTTGAACATTCTCGCAACGGCCCCAATTATAAAGACATCCAGCAGCCTGTATTTATACATATATATGCTCCATTAGAAATTGGTTGTGTCCAGAAGTTTTTTCATAAAACACCCCATAGTGTTACCCATTTAGCTTATTATGGTTTAATTCCGTAAAGCTGAATGTTGGCTCCTTAAGGCTTTAACGTTTAAAAAATAAATAAATAAATAGCTGCAGTGGATCGCTGCCTAAAAATCTGGACTTGGCATCTAGAGACATGGCATGAGCCTGCAAACGGCAGTAGGAGCAGTGCTGCATTGTACAAGCGCCAGAGTGTTTTTTTTCTTTTCAAATTATCAGACGACTACAACAACAAAACTCTGGCATTTTTATGTCCAAATAGTAGATTCTTTCATTTGAAAAATTTGACAGTTAAATATATGATGTATTGTGTCTTTCACTTCCATTTTATAGGAAGGAATAAAACAGGTGAGCCATGAAACATAGATGTCTCAAAACGTTGTGTTTTGCCTCAGTTTCCCCCTGAGCAAAAACCTTAATGAAAATGTAGAGAGGACAAAATTCACTTCAATCTATACAGCAAGAAAATGTAGCCGGCGGGCGAAAAGATGTTGAAATAGAGATGTTTATTGAGATGTAAATGATTTTCAAAGGCTTTCTTCCAACATTTCCGCTCAAGTTCAATTTGAACAGAATGTACGGACAATACACAATGACTACCTGAACTAAAACAGGCATAAAAAGCCTATCGTTTAGAGGGTTAATCGTTCTGTATCATAAACTAAAAAGCTGTAGAGTGACTTTTAAATCAAATATAAATTTATTTATCTTTTCCAAATAAAACACCCCACTTTAAATCCAATGTAAATGAAGCTGTTATACACTATATTGCCAAAAGTATTTGCTCACCTGCCTTGACTCACATATGAGCTTAAGTGACATCCCGTTCCTAATCCATAGGGTTCAATATGACGTCGGTCCACCCTTTGCAGCTAGAACAGCTTCAACTCTTCTGGGAAGGCTGTCCACAAGGTTTAGGAGTGTGTTTATGGGAATTTTTGACCATTCTTCCAGAAGCGCATTTGTGAGGTCGCACACTGATGTTGGACGAGAAGGCCTGGCTCTCAGTCTCCGCTCTAACTCATCCCAAAGGTGTTCTATCGGGTTGAGGTCAGGACTCTGTGCAGGCCAGTCAAGTTCATCCACACCAGACTCTGTCATCCATGTCTTTATGGACCTTGCTTTGTGCACTGGTGCACAGTCATGTTGGAAGAGGAAGGGGCCAGCTCCAAACTGTTCCCACAAAGTTGGGAGCATGGAATTGTCCAAAATGTCTTGGTATGCTGAAGCATTCAGAGTTCCTTTCACTGGAACTAAGGGGCCAAGCCCAGCTCCTGAAAAACAACCCCACACCATAATCCCCCCTCCACCAAACTTTACACTTGGCACAATGCAGTCAGACAAGTACCGTTCTCCTGGCAACCGCCAAACCCAGACCCGTCCATCAGATTGCCAGATGGAGAAGCGCGATTCGTCACTCCAGAGAACGCGTCTCCACTGCTCTAGAGTCCAGTGGCGGCGTGCTTTACACCACCGCATCCGACGCTTTGCATTGCACTTGGTGATGTATGGCTTGGATGCAGCTGCTCGCCCATGGAAACCCATTCCATGAAGCTCTCTGCGCACTGTTCTTGAGCTAATCTGAAGGCCACATGAAGTTTGGAGGTCTGTAGTGATTGACTCTGCAGAAAGTTGGCGACCTCTTCGCACTATGCGCGTCAGCATCCGCTGACCCCGCTCCGTCAGTTTACGTGGCCTACCACTTCGTGGCTGAGTTGCTGTCGTTCCCAAACACTTCCATTTTCTTATAATACAGCTGACAGTTGACTGTGGAATATTTAGGAGCGAGGAAATTTCACGACTGGATTTGTTGCACAGGTGGCATCCTATCACAGTTCCACGCTGGAATTCACTGAGCTCCTGAGAGCGACCCATTCTTTCACAAATGTTTGTAAAAACAGTCTGCATGCCTAGGTGCTTGAATTTATACACCTGTGGCCATGGAAGTGATTGGAACACCTGATTCCAATAATTTGGATGGGTGAGCAAATACTTTTGGCAATATAGTGTATCAACATTTACAGTTCGTTCAGAATTCACTGATACGGATTCCAAAATATATTGTGCCAAATTTGGATGTACATTGAAGTTTACAAAAAAAAGTATTCACTGCTCACTTATAAGTTACCTGTTTGTTAACAGTGAGTCAGCATGGCAGCAAAAATGCACTCAGGTATCTAGGTGTGATGGAGATGACTTTCAACCATGTGAAATGGGCTGGTCTGAGAATTTCAGAAAGTGCAATTCATTGTCTTGACTTCACACAAAAATTGTCCAAAATGAGAAGAAATGTCCAATAAGCAGCAGCTGTAGGGATAAGAAAATGCCCCTTTTGGATTTTAGAGGTCTGGAAAGAATAGACACACCGGTTTAAGAGCATAGAAATAACCCTCTTTACACTGTATACAGAACAATAGTCTGCACACAAACAATGCAGCAAAAATCCAAAAATGCATGTCACTAATATCAGCTAAAAAAAAAACTATGCTACAGTTTGCGCAGGCCCAATAAAATTGGACATAAACAGATTGGATCAACATTTTGTGTATATATGAGACCCGACTTTAACTGCAGCATTCAGAGTTGGTATAAACAACATGACAGCATGGATCAGAAATGCTTTTTATCAATGATTCAAGCTGCAGCTGCAGGGGGCACAGTAGTGCGGGAGATATTTTCTTAGTTTATTGAGCACATACTACCAGGGCATCTTTACTGAGTATACCAAGCTCACAGCCTAAAGAGCCAGTTAGTTTAATTGGAAAACAATTTTGGAAACAAATTACAGTTGTTATTGTTCAAAAGTATTTATGTCATTTAAGGTTTGTGTCATTTAAGGTTTGTGGGTTGATTAAGAGCTTGCAAAGTATTGAATTATGATCGTATCACATTTAAATTCTGACTTTCCAGGTAAAATATACTAAATATCAAGGAACAAGGAGATCTTTCTCTATTTTATATATACAGTATTTTAAAGTTATTATTTATATTGACTTTACCTTACAAAGGAAAGAAGATAAGATCAATATAGAGACCAATGCTGTAGATATAGAAAGGACAGAGTGGCAAGGTGCAGAAACTGTGAGCTTTTGGAATATCGAACACAACATACTGCGTGAATCGCATTGTGACACACAACTGCATAAAGAAAAAACGACCTAATTCCTTAAATTGAACCATGTCAACCTGGACATAAAGCATAGAGCTTAGCTATGTGTCTAATAGGCTGGATTTTAAAGCGCCTCAGGGCTCGGAACCATCTGACGTCAAGGACCAGCAGCCACAGAGAGCCCTCCCGCTGTGTTTTTTTCTCACATCTCTAGTATTTGAGAAAATAATGGAAATGAATTCACCACGCAGATGACCTCTAACAGCCAACTCCAACAGGCATTTTGCTCTAGCACAAAACGACTTCACCTATAAATAATTAAATATCGTAGCTGTTTATACAGTTTGTAAAAGCCAGGATATTATTAGTTCATCTTTTAAGTGGTGTTTTATGTCTGATCCAACAAATGTAGCACAAGTAAATGTGAGAATTACCTTGAAGTCCATTGATCACCACTGTATACTATTATTTACTCTGTATTCAAATTTAGTCAAAGGCAGGAGAGATGTTCATGGTTGAAAAAGATATCGTGCTTTTCAAAGAATGAGATGAAAGTCAAAAAGAGTGAAGAAAAATATCCTCATCGGGTAAAACAACTTCCACATTTGTGTGACTTTTCATAGCCAGTAGCTACGTCCATCTGTTATACCGTCTAGCATTTTCTGTCACCAAAACCGATAATCTGACGTTCCCCTCACATCCACTTTACACCCTCTTCACACCACCACCAGGCAAGTGGAGGTGAGAAAAGAAGATGGCTTTCAACATCTTTCTCACTTGTTTTTGGTAACAGATCCTTGCATTTAGAAAGGAGTTAAACACTGAAAAAGCCTTCACTAAAAGACGACAGTTTGAACAGTTTTTGCAATTTTCTAATATCTGGCAGATCAAAATACTCATGAATAGTCAAATGGTGTCCTAACTATAAATTTATCTTTTCTATTTCCTAAGTTCCTAAGAAACATATAATAATACATCTCTCTCCCAGCTAAAGTAAGCGCAGTTGTAGGCCACAGTTTGTATATATATTTGCTTTGCTCAATGAAATTGGTAAAAGTTAAAATAAATTATATTTTACTTAATTGATTCGCTCAAAGGAATAAGCACGTTTCTGGCAATGTTGACATAATTCTACACTACAAATCATATTTGTCCATTTAAATGTTACTATTTAAGACCAAGTGCTCAACATCTGGACATCCAATAGTTCAATAACAGCATTATGGCAGAAGCATAATAATAGCATGTTACTGAATTTTTAACACCTACAAGCTCAGATTGAAGAAAATATTTTAACAGTCATTGTTATGCACAGATGATTTTCTTTAGACGAAGAGAATTGACAGACACCGCAGCTGACTTTTTCATTAAATCAACTTTTTTTTTTTTTATCTAAAGTAGAAAATAAAAGTAAAATATAACAATTGGCTTGTGATCAAGGCATTAAAATATTCTAAAATCTTAAACAACCTTTTTGTAGTTTCCTCTAACAAAGAGGCATGTTTCTAGTCACCACAGCTACGTTGATTGCCAAACATAGCTTGGCAGATAGTTGACTTCAGGATTAGCACTGCTACTAAATTCACAAAAACTGGAAACAAGCTTAGATTCGTTATCCAAAATCAACTCTCTGAACCACATGACATACAGCAGCTGTTTTCTTGTACTAATTTGATATATTCATTTACAATGCAGCCTCTATAGCAAATCAGCCTTACTGGCTTGTTTACAGTAAATGATAATGGAGAATAACAGCCAATCCAATTAAACCTCAGTTATGTTTTAATCAAAATGTTTAGTTAGTATTTGCTAAATACTAACTAAATACTAACTAAATACTAAAAGTAAAGTATCTGGTGCTGTAAGGATGTGACGATTACTGAATATTGTGTTAAAACCAAAGTAAATATTTATTATCGTACAAGAAAGGCAGATGTGTAACATATGAAAGCCAGTTAAAAGGGGGAAACGAGAAGTAAATAGACTATAAAGTAGATATTTATTACATAGGATACAAAATAAAAAATCAAATAACTTCAAATCAGATTATTTTGCTTGAAGAAAACATTCACAACAATTTCTATCCTGGAAAAGAAAAATAATTTGTAAGTTTAGATTTTAAACTATCAGTGGGATCATATCCATATGGTTAACATTTGTAAAACTTAATTTCATAAAACACGTTTCCTCACTTCCGGTCCTCGAGGTCTGGTGTTTTTCACCTTTTTTATGTTTCTCTGCTTCATCACACCTGAAGCAGAGAAAGATCAATTATTTTACTCAGGTGTGAGTGAAATAATCTGTTAATTAGTTGAACTCTTGGTAATATTTATAATATATACCACATACTGCGGATTTAATTTTAGCCATTTGACTTAGGTGTGTGCAAACAGAGACACACCTAAAAGAAGCACGACACACAGGCCCCCGATTACTGGAGATGAGGAACCCTGCCTGCTCTGGCCGCTATTCAAAAAGCTGAAGTAGTATCTTATAGTGAGGATGAACTGCAAACGTGTCTCAATATCGTGTCAAACATGCTGCTTTGCTTGAGTTTGAGTTTTCATCTCTTCCTTCCCTCTGCTTCCTTTGAACTTTTTCATAACAACATAACAACTGAAGACTGTTGCTCATGCAAGCTTGTAG